TCCAGTGGCGGATAAATAAGACGTGGGCTCTGCTTGGTGACCAGGCCCTCCCTCTGAGACAGTTGGTTAGGTCCAGGGAGCTTTCTTAGTAGATCTCCACACCCTCAGATTTAGCTGGAATTAAGGGGGCCGTGAGTTTCACTTAAAGTCACATTTGTAAAGAGATCTTATACTGCATCCGAACACAGATTTACCACTCAACAGGAGCCAGTTTTGAGGTTCCTTTAAGCTTGAGGTCCACGCCAGGTAGACCTGCCGAACCCCTTGCCTCTTAGAATTTAAGTCTCCATCCACACTCAACACCTTCCCAGTTCGTGAGCACGCTGTGTCCTCTCTCACCTTCTCGATTTTGCGTAGATTGGGTCCTGTTTGTCAACTACCCTTTTCTCTCTTTTCTATCGGAATCATTTCAAATGGCACTTTTCTTGTGAATACTCTCCCAGGCAGATAATAATTTTTATTATCTATAAGCATAATAAACATGCCTTCAAAGAATTTATAATCTAGTTAAGGAGAAGCGATAAGGTAACGGAAACATCATAATTCATGGTCTGGTGCAGAAATGGTAATAAATTTACATATGTCGTCTACCTGTGTGCCATCCTTCAGGTGGTATAACATGTTTTATATACTGGTTACAGTGAACTTGTAAAATTGATGTACATTCTTCAGATGAGGAAAGTGAATTAAGAGATGTATTAGTTCAGAATACCTGGAGCCAGAACTCATCTATGTTTGTTACACTTCAGAGTCTGTGGTTCTCTGTTTTATGTGCTATTGCCTTAGGCATAAATGTGAACGGAGGTGGCGAAAGATTTAGATAATAGTTCGCTATAACAATAAGAGTTATCACAAGAATGATTAATAGTCAAGTAAATTATACAGGGTGGGAAGAGGTCCCTTCAGATTGAGGTGGGCATGATATATTATCTGAACAAATTGTGAGCTTTTGCCATGTGAGTAAACATTTAAAAACATTTGTAAATGGCTCCATCATATTTCATCTCATACCGTAGCAAATCATTTAAGTTATTCCCAGTTTCTTACTATTCTAGATTGTACACAACTCCGTCTGCTCCTCTGGCTGCTCTTGCAAAATCATTTCCTGAATGTAGAATTCAACAGGAGTTTGAACATTTTTTAAGAGTTTTAATATCTGTTGTTAAACATTTCTCACTGGAAAGATTGGACAAACATATAGGCCACAAATAGTGTTTACCTTCTTATATATTCTCTTTGTAGTTTTGAGTATTGCAAAAAGTCTTTGCTAATTTCAAAGCCAGAAAGGGTTGTCTAGTTTTGATTTGAGTGTCTGGTTGCTAGCATAGGTGGGACCATTTTCATGTATTATTGCTATTTAAATTTATTTTGTGAATTATCTTTTTGTATTCCTTGCTTATTTTCCTGTCGGTATCTTGGTTTTTTTCTTGCCAGTTTTAATGAGCCTTTTATAAATTAAGAACAGTGTTTTTCTCTAGTTTAAATTTTAATTTGGTTTATTTTTTATATATATTGAAGTTTTAAACATTCACATAGCTATAGCTTTTCTTTTAAATTTTCTACCATTTCTTTAAAGCTAGAAACTCCAACACATGAAATTGAGGGAAAATAATTTCAGATCTATTTTCTGGGAAAATGCCAGAAAGCACCATAGCTTACATAATACTGTAAGCCATTAAAGAGCTTATTATGTGGGTTTTTATAGTTATACATCACTGTAAATCTTGTTCTAGTAGCCATGCACTTAGTAGGTGCTGAATAAATATCTGTTGATGGAATTAATGAGTTACTCTAATGAACCATCAGTAACTGACACAGCTTCATTAAGCTTACTGGTGCTTGGCCCTTCTTCGTTTGTATTCTGTTTGCTCGTATTTTCTGAGAGTTAGTAAACTGATGAAAGACAAAGGAGAGCCCCCTCTGTGGCTTCTCATGCAGGCTTCCAAGCCTGTTCGCATCCCTGGGCGCTGCTGCAGATCCTGCCGTAAAGTTCCCCTCGTTTGATAGAGGGTTGCCTTCCTTTCAAATTCTGCTCCTTTGCTAGTGCTTTTTCAAATTAATTTTTTAATTTGAAATATCTTTCTTTAATTTGAAATAAGAATAAGTTACTTTTTTTTTTGAGGACTGCTCTAGTGGAAATAAACTAACCTTAAAGTATACATACTTGAATTCTGGACTACCGAAAGTATTGCGTCTCTAGGGTATCAGAAAGTACTCTAACTGGAGTCAGAATTTATATTGCGGGAGAAGAGAACTATATGAGTATGGAGCTTACCTCTTTTTTTTTTCTTTTTAATAGCTTTCTGTACATTAAAAGAGTCTCAGTTTATATTGTGTTGTCCCCTCAAAAAAAAAAGAGAGGAAAAATAACTTTATTGAGTTATAATTTATATACCATACAATTCACCCCTTTGGAGTGCGCAGATCAATTGTTTTAGTATACTCCCAGACGTGTGCAGCTGCCACCACAGTCAATTTCAGAACATTTTAGTCACACGAAAAGGAAATCCTGTACCTTTTGGCTATTGCCCCTCAACACCCATCCCCCCCAATCCTAAGCAACCACTAATCTACTTGTGCTTTCCATGTATTTGCCTATTCTGAACATTTAATATAAATTGAACCATATCATGTGTGATCTTTTGTGACTGACTTTTAAATTAGCACAGTGTTTTCAAGATTCATTCATATTGTACCAGGTGTCAGAACTTTAGTCCTTTATATGGCTGAATGATATTACATTTAATGGGTAATTCTACATACATTTTGTTTATCTGTTCCTCACTTGATAGGCATTGGGTTGTTTCTACCACTTGGCATTATGAGTAATGCTGCTGTGAACATTTGTGTTCAGGTGTTTGTGTGGACATATGTTGTCATTTTCTTGGATATATACCTAAGAGTGTAATTTCTAGATCATTTGTTTTTCAACGTGGCTGCACCATTTCACATTTCTACCAGCATTGTGTGAGAGGTGTGAGTTCTGCACTGCTTATTTTCTGACTTTTTGATTATAAGCATCCTAATGGGTGTCAAGTGCTATCTCATGGTTTTGGTTTGCATTTTCTTAATGATGGTGAGCATCTTTTCAGGTGCTTTTTGGCCATTTGTGTGTCCTCTTTGGATAAGTAGCTATTCAGATTTTTTTTCCATTTTTAATTGGGTTATTTGTCTTTTTTAATTTAAAAAAAAATTTTTTTATTGAATTGTAAGAGTTCTTTGTATATTTTTGATACAAGTCCCTAACTGGATATGTGATTTGCAAATATTTTCTCTTATTCTGTGGGTTGTCTTTTTAACTTTTTTGATAGTGTCCTTTGATGCATCCAAGTTTTTAATTTTGATGAAGTGCAATTTGTCTGTTATTTGTTACTTATGCTTTTGAGTCATATCTAAGAGTCCATTGCTGAATCTCAGGTCCTACAGATTTACCCATTTTCTTCTAAGAGTTTTACACTTTTAGCTCTTAATTTAGGTCTGTGATTCATTTTGAGTTAACTTTTGTATATGTTGTGAATTAGGGTCCAGCTTCTTTCTTTTGCACCTGGCGATGTGGTTACCCCAGCACCATTTGTTGAGACTTCCTTCCCCATTGAATGGCCTTGACACCCTTGTTGAAAATCAGTTGGCCACACAGGTTTATAACTGGACTCTCAATTCTGTTTCATTGACTGTGTATCTGCCACATACCTTGGCCACACTGTCTTGATCACTGTTGCTCTGTGGTAATTGGAAGCAAGTAAATTTGGAAGGTCAGTCCTCCAACTTTATTCTTTTCCAGATTGTTTTGGTTGCTTTTATCTTTTAACCCTTTATTATGCCTGTGCCTAGAATAGTGTTTAGCGCATAGTAGCTTTTTTGCAGGAATGGTTTAAAGTAACTAATTCAGCTTCAGTTTGAATGGTAAATCGATGTCTCTAAAAAGAATTTTCCAACTGTGTCTAACACTTTCTCAGTATTTTATGAAATACCTCAGTTCCCTATTTTATCTCTTAATAAAAGTTTTCAGTAATGAGTTATATCATGGGAGTATGTTGGCTTTATTAAAGGTTCTGTATGCATTGAAAGAAGAATCATATATTGGGAAAAATCAGCAAAAATATTAGTGATTAACCAACGTAGTATTAAGCTATAAAGAAATGTTTAGATTCAATATAGTTAAAATTATTCTTGTAGAGGAGGGATACATTTGTATAATTAAACATAAGTTTTCAGATAGTGGCTTCTTGTCTTAATTAATGTATTAGAATTTTTATTTAGATGTATTAGAATTAATGTATTAGAATTTTCCAACCAAGCCAGAAAAATTTAGTGGCATTTTGCTTATGTTAATGATTTTTCCCTCCTCAGCAGTAGAGATTAGAGGAATAGAACTATATATAGTTTTTTTGACAAGCACATGAGGAATTGCCAGAAACGTGATTTGTTTAATCTCCTGGTACTAACTGTAGTTGACAAGTATGTCATTTTTGATATATTTGGATATTTAAGTAGTATCAGCTTTATTCATTAAAATCCTAAGTTTTAGATCTTTTCGATTTTTCCTTAAAAATTTGATCCACAAAGAATCTTTCGGGTCTTACGTAGAAGTTGGAGCAGCTTAGAGAGGTTAAGTTGCTATAAAATAAATGAGTTGCATTTGACTATCTGTAAATATTGTAACCATTAAAATGAGTTGACGTTTGCCTTTTTGTATTTATCTTTATTTTTAGACAAAAATTGCCCTTTCCTTTGTTTCTAAAGGAACTGCGATATCCTATTATAAAATACTTAGCTATATTGTGGAGTTAGTCACTTTGAAAGTCAAGTATCCTATATATGGTGGAATAGCTAGTGTATCATTTCACTGTAACAATAAAAAATCCACAGAATAATTTTTTAGATAGGAAAATTATAAATATACTGCTTTTTTAGTGGTATATAATAAGCTACTCCCATGATATTTGGAATAACCTTAAATATAGAACAACTGTTTTCAGACATTGAACAGTGGGCCGAACATGGTTGTCATCCCTGAGACAAGGTACATAAATGACATGAGCTCCGTGATTACCCTGGCTTTCTGCCTGGAAGCCTTTTCCAGACGGTGGCACAGGGAGGAGAATCCCAGGCAAACAAGAGTGGTCTTGCTGAATCGAGGAGGCAGATTGGAGTTCAGGGAGGCTGAGGCAGTTTGGAAGTTGAGGGCAGAGTTCTGCAGAGGAAGGCGTGATGTAGAAAAAGAGCCAGAAATCTTCCTAAGGTTTCCTTGAGTCTTTGAATTCAGGATGCACTTGCATAGGATAGAAATCCCACAAGGTTAAGCAAAGAGCCAGTGGGGAGCTGTGAGCTGGAAGGTCCCCAGAGCTCACATGGGGCTCAGAGGCATTTGAGCCCCCATTGGTCAAAGTGCAGAGTCTTTGTTGTGGTGTCCACTTGGGGCATTCGATAAGTGGAAGGTTCACATCTGAGTAGTGGGCTCAGCTGTTCCTAGAGTAAAGGCATGCTTGAGATTGCCCTAACCAAGCTTGGAAACAAGTCTCGAAAGGATAAAATGGAATTGGAAATAATTTAACAGCCTACAAAAAGACAAAGTCCAGTACTCTTTAAAAGAAAATGGTGAAATCCAGATACTCAGCAAATAAACCACAATGTCCAACATCTAATAAAAAATTGCTAGACATGCCAATAAGCAGGAAGAGATGACCCCACAACCGGGAGAAAAATCAGTCAGTAGAAACAATCCCAGAAATGTCAGAAAATGATGGAAGTATGAGAATTGTTAAAATAGTTACAATTATGCGAAACATGTATATTGGAGAAAAATAAAAGATATAGAAAAGGACGCAAACGGAAGTACTGCAGATGAGAAGTACAGTCTGAATGACCAATGCACTGGATGGGGCCATCCACAGATAGGACACTGTAGGAAAGAATGATGGAACTTGTGGAAATAGCAGTAAAACTATGAAAAGTATAGTACAAGAATACACAGACCAGACAGAAATATAAACGACATCAGTGACACATGGGATAAAACCAAATAGCATGTGTGTAATTGGACCTCCGCAAAGAGGAAAGAAAGGGGGGAAACTGAGAAACATTTTAAGAAATAATGACTGTGACTGTTTCAAATTTGATGAACTCTGTAAACCCATAGGTTCAAAAAGTTCAATGAGCCCCAAGAAGGATAAACACAAAGAAAACTGTCACTGGAAAATCTCTGCTTAAATCTCTTGTCCTTCCGGTTTCTACCCATGTTGTCAGTCCTTTAACTAACTTTAATCTTACAACGTTTCTTTCTTCTGCTTTCACACTTCTAGTATTACATGGAGCATTCTTCTTTCCCTCATTTATCAAACCATTTTGTTCCATGTTTGCCTAAAACCTTTTTTTTTCCCCAAAAGGCTTTGCTTTTATTGTATTTAGTTATAGCCTTGATTATGAACCATTTAAAGATTTTTCTAAATATTGTTAAGTTAACTGTGTTACTAATTGTTATTTTAATTCACCACTTTCACAGGGAGTCTGGAGGACTCTTGACTTTGAAAAACGTCTATAATAAAAATTTACCTTTGGTTTTGGGGGACTTATAGTCCCATGATCGAGATCTAAAGTAATGCAGTTTCCATACTTTAACTACTTTTGTACGTTCCCTGTATTTTGTACATGTTGCATTTAATTATATGCTGAGACACTTCTTTTCTGAAACCGTACGTGGCGTTTGTGTTTGGGATACAGGACTTTAGGCCCACATTCCAGTAAATTTCATGCTGGCCCCGGTATTCAGCCACAGTCACCAATTATGTTCTCCTTGGTAAAGACAACTATGAAATTAAAAATAGCTTTGATTTTTTTTCTTCCAAATTTTTTTAGACCCATTTAAATTTTTCCAGTTTATGTAGTTTTTAATTAGAAGAAAGTTATATTTTTCATGAAACAAACTTTATTTGTGTGTGTATCTTTAATTGCATCTTTGATTTTCGGTAGTGTTTTCTTTCTTATATTCACTTGCCATTTTTAAGGATTTCATAATTCCTAAAGGCAGTTTTCATCTCAAGTGAACAATTCTTTTTCCTCTGTTGACTCTCGGCAGGTGAACTTGTCTTGTTTGTTGAATAGTATAGACAGAACAGCTGTTTAGGTTGACTGTAAGATGGAATAGTCGAGAAGCCTTGTGTATGAAAAAGTCAAGAAAATTGTTTATATCTGTGTGCCTGTCTGCTCGTGTCAGGTGATGTGGTAAATACTTTGAAGAGAAAGGTGCGTTTACGCATGTCCCTCCCCTGCTTAATGCCCTCCCTGGCTTCACTTTTTCTTCAGGACGAAGGGCACATGGTAGTCGGTGGCTGCCTGCTCCTCTGGCACTCAGGGCACATGGTAGTCGGTGGCTGCCTGCTCCTCTGGCACTCAGGGCACATGGTAGTTGGTGGCTGCCTGCTCCTCTGGCACTCCCATTCACTTTGCTCTAGGTCATAGGGCCTTTCGGTTTCTCAGACGAGTTGCGCGCGGTCCTGTCTCTGATCCTTTCCACACGCCGTTCCTTCTGTCCCAGCCACTTTCTCCTCCTGCTCCCGGTCAGTGCCTTCAGAGCTTTGAGGTCCTGTTGAAATGTTCCTTCAGAGAAGTTTGTCACCATCCTCCCAATGCTCACAGCTCGATCCCGTCCGTGGGTGTGCTTTGCAGTCTTCCTTCCCAGCATAATTCAGAACTCACTAGAAAGACTCGTGTGTGCCCTTATGTGCTACATACCTAGTTCTTTCTACAGACCGAAGTCTTCAGGGGGCGGGAATGGTAATGCTCTTGTTCAGTAAGGTGTTTTTCCTGCACTCCGAGCACAGCACTAGTCTGTAGGGCCCTTGTCGAATGAAGGGAAGCAGCAGCCTGGTGTGAGGATGCTCCGTTAGAGGAACGTCAAGTTGAGGTTCCTGGGAAGGCGGTGTGAAGTTCTGATACTTGGACGGGAGAGGCGAGTAGCTCCCTGAGGGAGAGAGGATTTGAGTTCGACCTTTTTTATATGATATTCAGAAATAAGAAAGCCAGGCAAAATCCTCGTGCTTTTTTTTTTCTCATTTAAATTATAGCCAAGCTAGGTCCCACTGGCCTGAATTTAGGCTCACTGTCTTACCCAGCTCAGCACCGTCATTAAAGGTGAGAAAGTTTAGACTTAGTGGTTAGAAGGCTTCACCAAAGATGTGAGCCCTAGAGCTGACCAGAGAACCGCCTCCCAGCCGGTAGGGCCCCATTCCACAGGGGGAGTAGGCCCCGTGCCTGCCACAGGGGAGGATAGACATCGTGGTGACTTAGGAGTGGTGGCGAGCTGAAGGTGGGGCCGGCGGGGCCTTGGGGTTAGACCAGGACTCCGGTCGCGGCCCAGACACCGGCCAGCGGAGCACACAAGTGCCCTTTGCAGCTCTTTTTCCTGTTTTGTCACAGGGGGATTGTGATAGTATCTGAGGGGTCGTTGGGAAGAGTAAATGGGATGACATCGGTAAGGCGCCTAATCAAGCACCTAGCGTGGAGCAATAGGTATTGGTAACGAGAACCTCTCATTATGGATTAGAGTTGGCCTTGTAGGTGAAGAATCTGTCCCTAAAATGGTGCTGTGAGTCTCCGCCAAGGGTAGGTGACATTATGTGTGGTATCTAGTGCAGCGCCTGGCAGGTGGTCAGCACTCAGTGCCTAACGATGGCAAGCACAGTTACAATGAAAATTGCTCATTGCTGTGTGACAAATTATACAGCCGATTAAAAACATAAACAGGAATCTGGTGCATATCCCAGTTCTGAAAGTCACTTTTATTTTACTATTTATTTTTCCCAGCTTTATTGAAATATAATAGACAATTAGTTGCTCGTATTTACATTGTACAATTCTATGAGTTTATTTCAATTATAGTTGGCATACAATATACCAGTTTCAGTTGTACAGCCTAGTGATCAGAGATCCACATAACTCGCAAAGCGATCGCTCCACTAAACCTGGCATCCGTTTTCCCTCTTACGTATTTATTACATTATTAACCA